CTAACAATTAGGGAGCAGTTTGGAGCACTGAATAATGTGGGATGATGCAATTGAATCTGACAGCTTCAACAGGCAGCCTGCTCATGGGACCTGAAAGTTGTTCACACTTGGTTTCATCTCTCATCACATGCTGAGAATTAAAGCCTTACTGGTGGTTAGCAGCCACTGAAATGGGGTCTGTTATCAGAATATGTTTCATGGTACAAAGTTTGAATCAAGCTGGAGAACAGACAAAACTTTCCATTGGTTCTCCAATCCTTGTCCAATATTCATTCATATTTTTCCTGGAAACCTTTCTGGTCAAATATTCTGTGTTTGCAAATTCAGAATACAAATTGTATTTTAAGACATTAGAGCTCTTATGTTGTATTTGCAGTGTAGCCATCTTACTGTAGAGTTACACAGATTAAAGTGTTACTGCAGGGTCTGGGACATAGCCCAGGAGTACAGTGCCTGCCTGGCATGCACCAGTCCCTGGCTTCGACCCCCAGCTAAACCCTCACTGCTACCACATGCACACAGGGGCATACTGAGGAAGATCAACTCATGTTTATTTGACAAATAGGTTTTAATCTTTGAAGTATGCCATGGTTAGTATTAGAATATAATTGGGAAACTATATTCTTTAATGAAGTTAATGGAAAAGTTAAAACAATAATTTACAAAAATAATTTCTAAAATAACAAGCTGAAATATAAATGCTTACTCTGTGCCAAGTGTCCTTCTAAACTCTTTGCATATATTAACTCAATTCTAGCAGCGTTCCTATGAGGTGGCTACTACTCTTACGGCCATTTTCTAGTGGAAATTGAGAGAGGGTTTACTTAGTTTAGTACTTTTAGTACCTTACTTAGCTTGTGGCAGCTATGGTGACGATAAAGTCTTTTTTCTTTTTCTGTTAAAAGTACAAATGATTCAGAGAGTCTGACAAGATTTTGGAAGTATGCATTGTAAAATGTGTTAGTGCTAGAACGTTTGAAGAAAAAGGTACTACGTTTTATAACTTGTTTGAATCATTTGACTTTAATGTTTATTGACAGGCTAACTGTGTATTTAAAAAAATGCCTGCTATACTCTGTTCCTGTGAGATTGAATTACAGACCTGCTCTAGGGATGTGATACTATAGTACTTTGCAAAGTGAAATTCTCACAGGTACTCTTCTTGTATACCTAATTTTTCTTATTCATTCTTTGAAATTTTAGCTTTATCAACATTAGAGTGGGACAGAAATCTACTGAAATCAAGACCCACTTTTAAATCTTACAGGTGAACAATTGAGCGTGCACCCTGACCTTTTTTCACTTCTAATACTGACAGTTTTAGAAAATCCAAGCATCTAGGAACACATTAAGAGTTCCTCCTTTACAGATATACTGGTCATAAGCAGACTCTTCAAGTATAAGAGATGAACTGTTAACAGGAGAAATTTCAGGCTGAAATGTAATTTTAATCTTAAGTTTTTGATTGTTACTTAGGAAATACTAGTGTGTCTTTGACTTGAGTTTGAATACTGCCTGGATAGAGACTTACTTTTTTTCCCCTTTAGATAAGTTATTCTAAGTTTGTTAACAGTGTTCTCAAGACACCTAGATATGTTTTGGTTTAAAGTGAATCTATTTTTAACCTACTGATCTTTGGGGACCATCTTGCAAAATAATTATACTTCTCTTAATGAGGTTTTTTTTTTTGTTTGTTTGTTTGTTTTTTTACTAGTGTTAGAATAAATGTTACAACATTTTAGTGTGGAAGTGAGTCTTGTTAATTATTAATCTTAGCAAAAGGCGGCCTCTTTAAGGTACCATATTGTTAAGTGAAAGCAGAAGTTTATCATGGCAATATTAATTTATCTTGAAATAATTCTAGATGTATAGAAAAGTTGTAAGCACATTGAGCAGTGGCAAACCCATAGCACGCTTGCTACAGCAGGCTGTAGCAGTGAAAGCTCTGAAAGGTTCCTCATCACTGTGCTACAGTGTTCACAGTGTATGTGTTGAATATCCAGCTATCCCTACTCTACACAGACTCATGTGCTTGTAATACCAGTAGATCCAAGGAGAACACCTCTCCAACCGTGGCCACTCGCCTTTCCTGGGCAGGATAGAGCTGAAATGTCAAGATAAGTATCCTTCCAAAAAATAATTTCTAGTCTTTCATACCTGATCTTCTGTAAGATTTTTTGAGTTGACAGAATGCCTGTGCTTGCACTCTTTCCAGTAAGTGTGTCTTTTCCCCCAACTCTTTCACTTGTCCATGTTCTCTGTTGCTAAGTTGTGACTCTTTTCACTCAAATGTGGGTTTTCTCTTTTTCTTTTCTGGCTTGGAGGTACCAAAGAAAGAATCATTAAGGGTACCCCTGCCGGACATTATTTTGGAATTGTACTGGCCTGGTAAAATGAATAACTTGTTACTTCCTTCTCCTGAGTTTTTTTTCTTGAATTTAGGTAATGTTGATTTTTGTCTTATTTTTAAAGGAAAAACAACCCTCAGGTATTTCTGAGTCATCCAGATAGTTGGAGAAGTTGGTCATTTTGGAATAGTATTCTTATTTTACTTCATTATTATCAACTTTTGCCAACGACTTTTTATAAAAATAGACTTTCCTGTTCTCTTACTGGTGATGTCATTATGCAGATCAGTTGTGCTGCACTGGTTTCTATTTTGATCTTTGTTATAGTGAGCCTGAAATATGGTAGGGAAAGTAAGTAAATTTGGAGACTGGATCAAGAAAGTGCTACACTCCAAATTTGAAGCTACTGAGGATACTGTGAAGCCCTTGGCAGAAAGGACCTTTCCTTAAAAAGAATGCTATAATTTTGATATTCTTTTTTTTTTTTTTTTTTTGTACCAGGGATCGAACTCAGGTCCTTGTGCTTGTACAGCAGGTGGCAAAACCACTGAGCTAAATCCCCGGCGAGTTTTGATATTCTTATTAAGCAACTGTGGCAACTCATGAGGCCAGTATTGGATCTAAAAAGGAATTCCAGCTGGTAGATTACTGGTTGTGGTTTAGCCAAAGTATAACCTAGATGACTGCACTAAAATGGGAAGTGGGAGACTCCAGAAACGTCCTTGCTTTGCAGGTGCTGAGGCCCCTGGAGGCTGTTCTTTGAGGACCTGCTCCAATGCGCTGCAGTACGCTCACCTGTCTCATCGTCTGCACTCCTCTCTTGTCAGTTGTTACTTCTTGCTTCCAAAGAACTCTCAAGATAATACCTCTTCTTCCTCCTTGTAATTCATTTTCCACTTCTAATCTGTAATATGCTTAGTTGATCTTTTTGGAATTGTGTCTAGAAGTAAGAGTAAATTGGTTCTCTGAAAGGCATTTTTTAAGGGTTGGGAGTCAGAGGCTTTAACACAGTATGTGGGACTGGTAACATCTGGTTTTTCTGTTGGTTTGTTTGTATTTTCCTTGTTCTCATTTATTTTATGAGTAGCTAAGGCTCCCAGATAGTTAACTTTTGGAAAGGTAATGAAATCTTACAACATCTGATTTCATGAATTGTGTATTTTATGTATCCTATACTATTAACTACATGTTAAGCAGCTGATGCACGCTTCAGATTGCTGGAGTTGACGTACCATCTACTGAGGGCTGATTGATCGTTAAACAGGATTTTATAGCAGTACTTATTGACTGTGTGCATATCATCAATAAGGAAAAAAAACCCCGAAATCGAACTGTTAAATATACCCTTTGAAACAATGGAAAGCAAGGACAGGATTCTGTATCATGAAGACTGTTTCTGTGAATTGTGAAAGTACATTTTCCTTGCTTAATAAGTTGGCCAGAGGGCAAGATAAAATGTCAGGTTACAAGTCTACTCAGAAGCACAGTTTATTTTCTGTAATATTTTGCTTGTTGTGACTACTGTGTCGTCATTGTCTCTTGTGTACTGTTGTACATGTCAAAATGTTCCACATCTTTTGTTTTGCTGTTATGAAGCTTTATGTTAGAAGTGCTCCAGTTTTTTGAAGTTGTGGTCAGGAGTTCTATTTTGAACTGACCATGTAGTGATTTCACTGTATAAAAGCTGAAGTTTGATCTCATTCAAGCTTCTTGAAAAAAAAAAGTTTAGTTTAAAATTTGTAGTTTTGTTAAATCTGAAAATCATTGCAAGTCAGTAATAACCTTCTGTGAGTAACAGTATTTTGTATACAGAAGATTTGCTTCCAAAATGCCACATTCAAAGGTTACAATATTCTTGAAAAGTGGGAGAGTATACACATCAAAGAAGGCATTTTTATCACATCGGACTTTGGCCAGCCTCCTCAGCTTGGTGTGTTAAGGGTTCATTTTGGCTTGTTTGGCACGGCTCCCAGTGCACGCCTTCAGAATTGTGGTTAGCAACATGAATGAATTACAGAGTTTGGCTGAGCTCCTCAGCTAGTAGAGCTGGCTTCCTGCCAACAAGACAGTGCCTTATATGGGGTCAGGGCAAAGCTCGGATTCGCCGGGCCCTACATTGTATAGAAAGGATACTTTCGATGCCTGTTTGCTTTCTTTTAAAATAAAAACAAGACAAAACAGGAAAAGCAGGCTTCCAAGTCTATCAAAATAGGAAGTAACAAAACAGTGTGCAGGTTTTACTAATGACAGAGTCCACGGTGGAAGTGGGAGTGTGGCTCTGCAGGGTGAGGGTGCTGGGAGTCAGACCCTCTGACCTCCTTGGCCAGCTTGTGGGGTGAGGGCTGAAGGATCTGTTAGGCTTCTGTTTCCTATCTGCTCTTACTTTATAAATGTTTAGCGAGTTTAAATACTCAGTCCTGTGCGTGTGGTCACTATACTGCTGGTTTTAGTGTTGACTGGATACTCTGAATTGGCCGATTCATCTCTCTTTTTTACAGTATTTATGTAACTTCAACATTTGACAGGTTGGAATGGTAAAGCAGGGAAAAACAAAACTTGCTTTTCAGAAAGTCAGGAACGTCTGCTTATATTCTAAGGCTGGGGGAATAGGTAGTAGATGCAGCTCACTGTCCCTGTCCTTCTGTCCTTTAGGCGAATGCCCTGTCTTGCCCCTCCCTGGGGCAGGCGCCCTCGCACGTGTACGGCAGCAGGTTAAACCCGAACCCGGTGGTGGCAGCGCTCATAGCCCAGGCTGACAACAGCCAAACAGGTGAGGTCTCGGGAGCCCACACTCTTCCCTGGGGTAGGAGAGGGTGGAGCGCGGCGTCTGCCCTGACTCCGTCGACCTGTGACAGGATACTGGGCTCTCCTGTGGAAGCCCGGACCTTTATGTGCGTGATTCATGAAATTGCAGTGCGCACACGTGGTGAAAAAAATCCTGTTGGCTTTCTAGTGCTTCGTAACCCTGTGGTGCAGCTTGGCTGACATCTTGTAGCATGTGCCTCTCTGACGTTTTCAATGAGGCTTGGGCTTGCTGTGTCTCATTCCACCCTTAAGGGTTTGTTGACATGTCCACGCAGTCACGCCCGTCTGGGACAGGCCCTGGGCTAGCAGTGCACCCAGAGAGGTCAGTGTGTCCTCACCCCTCAAGGGTCAGAGGTCACCGGGCTCGGGCTGGCTGGGCCGGCAGCCTTGGAAGTGGCCAGAGGGTGCTTGCATTAGGGGCTAGCTACGGGTACCCAAGGAGTGTTTAGAAGACTTGAGTTTGTTTTATTTTAAACTCTGGATTTCTACTTGTTTTTAGCATTTTGAACATGTATGCTTAGTGTGTGGATTCATGGGACATAATTTTAGTCTCACATGAGGTTCTGTGTAAACGTATTTCATGACATCTTGGAATGCAAAGTGTTAAAAAATACAAAGCATAAGGGATTTGCTGTGATAAGCATACAGATTAGCTGTCCACAGCTGTGATTCATTACTTTAACCGTAGAAATTAAAAGTGGCTGAGGGGAGGGTACTGCAAATTCAAACCACGCTTCTGTGCTATAAAATTGAAAGGAATGAAAGAAAGAACAGAAGATAATCCATCGCCTTCGACACCCACAAAAACGTGTAGGGACAATGCTTTACACGCCACAGTTCAGCGGTTCCCAGCCAGCAGCACACTAGGTCTCCCACTGTCCCAGTCACTGGAAAGACAGTGGCAAAGGTTTCATGTGTGTTTTAGGGGAGTGAGAGCTTAAAGCCTCTCACCCAGTGAGAGTCAGTTTATCAGCTCTGAAATCTTTGTGCTGCAGATCAGGAGCTGGGAGACAGCAGCCGAAGCCTGGTCGGTAGAGGAAGCTCACCCCGAGGAAGTATCTCCCCGAGGTAAGCGCCCACTCTTCACACGCAGCTCGCGGAAGCGGGCAGAGCGAGTGTCTGTGAGCTTCCGGAATCTTCCACAGACGAGAGGATGTCCAGACAGTCTGGCCCGCTTGCTCGCTGCCAGTTCCGACACGGTCAGACTCCTGGGCTAAAGGGATTTATCTTGTTAGGGTTTCATGTCAGTTTGAAGTCTTCATTTGTGTATGCATCTAGCTGCTGTTACTATTAATTCATTAACTTGGCTGAGTATTCTTGCTCATGCTGGGCTGTGGGCTGTGGGCTGTGGGCTGTGGGCTGTGTGCTTCTCTCCAGCCTCTGATTCCTGCTCTGGCTGTGGGGCCCTGCAGCAGCTTGCTAAGGTCATCTGTCTTCCTTGTTGGAAGCAGAGTTCAGCAGATGCACCCTGCCCTGTCCTGTAGGCTCCGTCCATGCTGTGCAGCACCCGAAGCCCCACTTCTCGGGTCAGTGTGGTAGTTAGGGGCTGTGTCTTCTGTCCTGAAACGTTGTGTCAGGCCACAGGGGAGAATGGCACTTCAGTGACGGTTGTTCTATTCGCTTTTCCACTCTGTGCCTTCTAGATGGTTTACGCTGTGTTCTCTATAATTTCACAAATCCCCCCTCAGACACTGGACTGAACAGGAATGGAGCACATTGGAGGGGAAGCTCATTCTAGGGCCCTCTCGTGTGGAAGATGCTCCCCCAAAACTTAAGCCCTCCGCGTGGCAGTGAGTGATGAGTAGTAGTGCTGATGAGGTGCCGTCTGTTGAGGGCTGTCTTCACTCTTAAAGCCCTCAGCCCCGTGACTCATTTTTCTGTTTTCTGATGGTACCAGTGCTCCCTTTTGCCTGTGTCATTCCTGGGTGAATGGAAAGTAGTGTTTTTCCTGATTGACCTCTCCAGAAAATTAAATATCCCTCCTCTGGAAACTGGGGATCCAGAGTGGCCTGTGATTTTGTGTACTTCTATACTGTTTGCCCGCCTGCCCTCCATCTCTGTCTGTCGGCGTCTGTCTCTGTCTGTCATACTGGGGAATGAACCAGGGCCTTTGCACCAAAGCCACATTCCGAACATTGCGGGCGCGTGGGCAGGGGCGGCGGGGGGGGGATTGCTGAGTCACCCAGGTTGAGCTGAAACTTGAGGTCCTCCTGCCTCCGCCTGTCAGAGTTCTGGAATTATGAGCATGTGCCAGTCACCATGCTCAGATTTTGGGGATGGGTGGGAATGAGACAGGGTCTTGCTGTAATAGTCTAGGCTGACTTTGAGCTCAGTATATAGTGCAGGCTAACATTGAATTCATGGTGATCCTCTTGCCCCAGCCTCCAGACTGCTAGGATTATAGGTGTGTGGCTACCACCCCAGCCCCTGTTAAATTTTTCTTTAAAAAACAAAGTTCAGGGCTGGGTATTTAGCTCAGTGGTTCCACCACCTGCCTCGCAAGCACAAGGACCTGAGTTGGATCCCCGGCACTAAAAAAAGTTAATGGAGTTTTGTTCATATAGTGGAGAAAGCTTTTATTCCCACTTTAAACTTAAACTGTCACAGATAGTCTAGAAATTATCCAGAATTCCTTAGCACTATTTTGCCTGCTGGATTGGTTTGTTTCTCCAGTACTGGGCCTTTGTACTAAACTACATCCCTAGCCCTTTAAAATGTTTTATTTTTGAGGTAGGATCTTGCTAAATCGCCTGGATTGGCTTGAATTTGGGACCTTCCTTCCTCAGCCTCTCAGAATGTAGGCGTTTGCCAATGCACTGGGCTGTGAGTGCTGGGTTTTTTTTCTAAAAAAACTCGGACAATACATATTTATTAGTGGGCACATTTGTTAGAATGCTGGGTTTCATTGATTAAATTATTTAAAATGATTGAATTGTTTAGAAACCAACCTGAAACCTAAGAACGGTCTGCAGGCCGTGCGGTACTAGCCTTTGCCGAAGCCCCGCTGGGAGTCCTCGGAGAAGCCCGAGGAGGCCGACTGTGGGCAGCTGTCTCCTGTGCCAGCGGTGACCTCGGAGGGCCGAAGCCCTGCGCCATGTCCCCGGCACCAGGACTGACCTCTTCCCAGTGCCTGGCAGCACAGTGCGAGCTGGAGCACACACGGCCCTTACTAACCGAAGACAGAAAGTGGATTAGACAGTACTGCGTGTCCATCTTAATAAAGTAAAGTTTGTTTTGCAGGGGCTGATTATCATTTGAGGTACAGGTCTGACATTTTAAAAGTATTTTTATAGTGGATTTACACATTGCCTCGAATAGTATTCCTTAGTACTGAAGGTAGCTTTTAATTTATAATCAAAAAGCTGCTTCAGAATTGTTAAGATAGCCAAAGCGTGGTGGTGCACGCCTGTAATCCTAGCACTTAGGAGGCTGAGGCAGGAGGATTGCCATGAGTTTGAGGCCAGCCTGGAGTACATAGTGAAACTCTGTCTCAGTAAACAAAAATTAAGAGAATTGTGAAAATACTCTTTTTATTCATATTTTATTGGTTGTAAATTCAGATGCCTTCCATGGTATTATAATCATAGTCTATTCTGATACCATGTGTATTAAGGCAGAAAGGCAGAACTCTCATTTTTAATGTTTTTCTGATCTTGGTCTTTTCCTCTTTTGTCTTATGAAACCATACCAAGTTCTTTATAGCCTGTTTCAGAGATTATTGGTGGTGTGCTGCTTTTTTTTTTTTTTAATTAAAGTGGAGTAACATTTATTTCCCATCTTGTTTACAATCTCACTAGGACTCTGAAACGAGATTGGGAGGCAGAAATGTAGTACAGTAGTGCAGTATCAGAACCTTTTTAATCTAGAGGAGGTGGTTTCTGGAGCCTAAGACTTCCAGTCAAACATGGCCAGCAGCAGGAGTGACCAGTGTTACTGTGGATACTTTGGTTAATGTTGGTTTTTTAAAAATTCTTTTAACATGCCAGTGGACATTGTGACCAGGCTCTTTGTGGGCGATGATGTGCTGTAGACACTGCTTGCTCCCAGGCGACACGAGACATACTGTGAAGTGTGTGCAGCGGCACCCAGGCCGTGTCTCCAGGAGCCTCCAGGCTGTATGGCTGTTGGAGATGTGCTTCTGTTTTTTGGTGGTTTTTTAATTAGTGTGTCAGCCATTCCTATGTTGTTGTTGTTGGTTTTTTTGGTACTGGGGCTCAACTGAGGACCATGGGCTTGCAGGAGAGGCGGCTGAACCACTGAGCTAAATCCCTGGCCCCATTCCTTTGATTTCATAGGGCAGGGAAGAAGAATGATGATGACGCAGTTTTAGGGTAGATGATGGTTTTTTATGCCCAGGAACCTGATACTTGTGGCATAGGCCACCTGGAGTTAGAAAACTTGTCCAGGAAACAGCAGCGATTAGGATAAGGTAAGAAACCCTACTGTGCTGTACCTGAAAGCGTTTCCCTTCTTTTTAACTTGAGCATTCATGTTTCCAACAGATCCCCTGTGAGCAGCTTGCAGATGCGCTATGATCAGCCCGGCGGCAGCAGTTTGGAAAATCTGCCTCCAGTGGCAGCCAGCATAGAGCAGCTGCTGGAGAGGCAGTGGAGTGAAGGACAGCAGTTTCTATTAGAGCAGGGCACACCCAGTGACAGTAAGTGTGCATTTCCTGGGCTCCGGGTGAGGGGTGCTGTGGGCGGACACAGGGGTCAATGTCTGCGATGATGATGAGACTAGGACTCAGATTTTAATGGGGTGAGAAAGCTCAATACAGACATATAATGGGGCTGATTCTCCAGTCTTACTGCTTTGTCTTGAACCTCATCTTTACCTTATTAGTAGGCACACTCTTGGGCAAGTCTCTTAAGGTTTTTAGTCTCTCATTTGTAGAATTGGGAGTAAGAGTGTATCTCTGTCGGGTTGTTCTGAGGATTAAAAGACACGAAAAACCATAAAGAACACCATAAAACACCTTGTGTTAGCTGACCACTAGTTACTGTAACATTGGTACTTTTTCTTCATAGTACTGTCATTTGTTCTTATCTGTCTTCTCTAAGCTTACTTGTTGGAAGAAAACTTCCTCACCTATGGAGAATTAAAAAAAATGCTTATAGACAGGTATGGCCAGCCCCCTTAATTTTAATAATTTAGAGGAAGAATAATAACTACATCATAAATGTAACTAGTATGTTATGTTTATCATTTATTAAGTTACAGTATGTGGTATGTATTGTGTACACGTATTTAACTTCTTTACATTTTAAATTTTAGGATCATGGTATAAAATGGCAGAAAGACAAAGTTAGAACAAGTGGCAGTTAGCTGAAGTCACCTGGTGTCGAGCAGAAATGTTTTTTTGGGAAAATAGGTGGTTTCCATCACTTGGGGATATGAACTTCCACTACTTTATTTCATTAAAGCAGAGGCTTTTTTTAGTGCTAGGGAGCCACGTGCCATAAATGGGTATTTTTATGAATGGCGCCCAACAGAAAATGCTGATTTTCAGGAAACCCATGCCAGGATAATCCTTAGGAAACGATCGCTGGAGAACAGGGTCAGCTCAGTCTTGCTGTGCTTCATTTGGGACCTTGGAGAGGGAGGACACAAGCCAGTCCTGGGGCAGGACTGGGCCGCCTGTGTCTGTCCAGGGGGAGCGTCTTGTCTCCTGCGGGCCCTGAGGTCCTGTTAAACAAGCACAAGTTTTTGACCCGGAGAGTTGAGGGCTGTCAGCCGTGCCGGGGTGTGTGGGGGGGAAGTGGGGAAGGCGCAGGTCTTGGCAGTCACGCAGGCGGAGCCAGCGCCCACTCCCCCCCTGAGCTGGACCCTGGGCCTCACTCAGTTCAGACTGAGCAAGAGGCGAAGTGCGCACTTCTGACCGTGTCCATAGAGGACATCCGTGTGCTCCTTGCCTACTGTAAATACGACTTCGTGAGAAGCGATGGATGGCAGCGCTCTGCATGTGTAACAAGGTGGCTTCGTTTGTTTTGAGGATGGAAGTTGCCTGCGTCTGGTGGTTTTGTTGGTATGTGCACTGGTTTTCAGATGCTGCCTCTAGGAGCATCTTCCTGGATGCTTTCGTACAAATACAAACCCGACATTTCCATCATGCAGGCCCGGGATACGCTGTTGTCATTTAGGAATGCTTCACAGGACTTGGCACATGGCAGCTTTCTTCTGCAGTTATTGGTGGTGTGTCCATAAATAGTCCTGGGTGTGGGTTCGGCTTTATTAAAATCATCAAAATGTTTGCTAGTTTTAGGAATGCTGAAGTCCTTACACCAACTTCAAGTAGAAAATCGAAGATTAGAGGAACAGATTAAAAACTTGACCGCCAAGAAGGAGCGTCTGCAGTTGCTGAACGCACAGCTTTCAGTGCCTTTCCCGACCATAGCGACAAACCCCAGCCCGTCCCATCCGATGCACACATTTTCTGCACAGACTGGTGAGTGGGGGTGTGCGGTTAGTGCCCACGAGAGGTGGGGGCTTCGGCATCACCTGCCTAACAAGTGCTAACCAGCCGCCGTCCTGTGAAGATGTGAATGGGAGCGGTGGGCTGTTTCTGAAGGGCATAGACAATCCTGTTAGGTGAGGACTTGGATTTGCTTTTACTGCTTTCTTCAGTACAGAGTTTAGTGGTGATTTACTTGAATGTGTAACGATCTCATTATTGAGTTACAGCTATGGTATTCAAAAGCAGTACAAGTTTCGCTTTCTCTTTAAACTGGCGTAGGAGTGGCGTGCCTTACTTTGTAAGTGTCTTAATAGGGTAAGTCTCTGTGTTTTATTATTCTAGCTCCGACTACTGATTCCTTGAACAGCAATAAGAGCCCTCATATAGGAAACAGCTTTTTACCTGATGGTTCTCTTCCTGTATTAAACCAGGTAATTTGTGTGCGGTTACATTCATTTGTGCTTTGCTCGTGAACCGTAGCACAGCGCCTTAAATGGCTTCAGATTCGTGTCATCAGTTTCTCTTCTTCCACCAGGACTTAACCTCCAGTGGTCAGAACACCAGCAGCTCCTCCACCCTGTCCACCCCTCCGCCCGCCGGCCAGAGTCCGGCACAGCAGGGCCCCGGAGTCACTGGGGCCCAGCAGGTCAACGGCGTGGCCGTCGGGGCGCTGGCGGGGGCGGTGCAGCCCGTGGCTGCCTCCATCCCTGCCGCCACTGCGGTCGGGGGGGTGATGGGAGCTCTGCCCGGTAACCAGCTGGCAATTAACGGCCTTGTAGGAGCTTTAAACGGGGTGATGCAGACCCCCGTCACCCTGTCCCAGAACCCTGCCCCCCTCGCCCACACAACCGTACCGCCTAATGCGACACATCCAGTGCCAGCCTCGCTGACTAACAGGTGAGAAGCTTGTCATACACTCGGGTTCTGCAACATAGAACCAGCATTGTCGTGCATTAGTTTGGGATTTTCACTGTCTCCTGTAGATACGTCTAAGAAAATAAATGTCTACCCCAGATTTCAACTAGGCATATGCTACCCCCAGAGTATGTATATTTTTGAAATGTAGGGAATTCTTATGAAACAAAGTCAATTTTAGTAACAAAGTATTAAATATATTGTGTTCAGTTTCAGTCTTGATCTGTGATGTAAATGTTTTCTTACCCCTTGTATATTTTATTTATGTATCCTACATACTGAAGAAAGGTGATATCAGAGTGATGCTTCGTAAAATCTAATAGTATAATTTTGTTAACTTTGGATCAAAGATTTTGACATAAGGTGAGGGGTAAATATTTATCTTGAAGTGAAACTCACTGGTTTTGTTGTACTAGAATTTCAGGAGTATTTGTTCAAAAAAGGGACTAAAGCCATGTTGTTATTAAACATACTTTGGAGGAATAATTTTAAATAATTTGTATTGGGTACTAGTAAGCTATTTCTTCTGGCTTTCTTTTTCTTGATGCTTAATTTTAAAAAATTAGGAACATTAAAAAAATCCGTCAAATCAGTGGTATGTTTAGATTCTTTTAACAATGTGTATCTTAGCATGGGTTAAATTATCCCTGATTAATTAAAAATAAACACATGTAAATTTCTATTCCAGAAAAGAAATTTTTATTCTCTTTGGTTTATAATAAAAAGAAAACACTTCTTGACCACGTGAATATGAATTCTCATTTAGTTGTATACATGCATTATAGAAAGAGAAAGAAGAAATAATTTATACAGAATTGTTTTAAAAAAAGTATTGTGGTTATTAGGCTGGGCGTGGTGGCACACGCCTCTAATCCCAGCACTTGGGAGGCTGAGGCAGGAGGATCACCACAAGTTCGAAGCCAGCCTGGGCTACACAGTGAGTTCAAGCTCAGCCTGAACTGCATAGAGACCCTGTCTTGAAAAATAAAAAAGTATTATGGTTAAACACTTGTTAATTAAATACTGAATCAAAAAGTTATCTTTCATTTACATTTTTAAAAAGAGAGAAGTATAAAGTAGAAAGTAAGAATTTTAATCATTTTTCAGTGCCTCAGGACTAGGATTACTTTCTGACCAGCACAGACAGATACTTATTCATCAGCAACAGTTTCAGCAGTTGTTAAATTCTCAACAGCTCACGCCAGTAAGTTCTTCCTTTTGATGATATTTGATTTTTCTTAGGATCAGTGTTGTAGACTCGATGATCGTTGTGGGATTGGAATGCCTTAGTGAACAGCACGGCCGAGTACATGACCCAGCCTGCCTGCTGTGTGGGGTCCCTGTGGTGAGGCGCACACTCCTCGGGCACGGTCACGCGTTGCGCCGTCAGGGTCTGGTGGGTGGGGCGCTGTCGGGGACAGTGGGGGTGGGGGGCTGTGAGTGGAGGTGTGGTCGGCGGCCTGCAGGCCCAGATGCATGCGCACGCGGCAGAGCCTTTCCCACTTAGGGGAGGGGAGAGCAGAGCATAGCAGAGCTGAGCAGGGCAGAGCAGGCGCTGGCTGGGGCAGAGACCTGGCGAGCGGGAGCGCAGACGCAGGTCTGCCACTGGGAACTCTCCCGAAGGCGTTTGAAGCCCGTGTGCCCGCCCGGCGCTGTCACCGGGCCTCGGCGATTGCTCCAGCTCTGTTCATCTCGTTTTAGTCGTCTCCACTTTTCTCTCAGGATTATTTTAAGAATTAGTTTCAAACAGCGCCGCAGTAGTCACGGTATTAAAAGGGCTGATTAGTTGCTGCTGGGGTGCCGGCCGCATCGCACCGCACAACAGCAGGTGGGGCACGGGACAGGAGGGCTGGACTTGCTAGGGTCCGCGGAGAGGCTGCGCCGCCCTGACAGAGTGTAAGCGCCAGAAGACCCCGGCTTGGGGAGAAAGCAGTAGTTTCACCAGGGACGTAGTTTACCCTCCGTGTCCAAGGGTTCTGCTTCTGTGCATGCAATCATCTGCAGATCAAAATGTCTGCAAAGCAGTGGCGTCTGTCCTGAATGCGGCCCGGCCTTTTCCTAGCGTCCGCTGCTGAAGAGCGAAGAGCGCAGCGCAGCTCCGCACCGCCCGGCCTGCGTTCAGGCCCTGGGCACGGCTGGAGCCATGCAGCCTTGAGACCAGGTTTCCGCAGGCTTTGGGTCAGACGGGCGCCGCATCGGGGTCTGGAGCCCCAGGGAAGCGGGAAGCCCGCGGCTGGAGGGAAGGCGGGGCGATGCGGCGCGGCCACCGCGGGAGGCTGCTGAGTGTCCTGTAGGTGGTGGGAAGACCCCAGTGAGTGGCCGAGAGTGGGATGCAGTGTGGGCGACAACACGACTGCGAAATCCAGGGAAACGAGCGCGTGCGCGTTGGCGGGCGAGGCGCGGTCCTGGCGGAGGGAGCAGCTGACTTGCCGCTTGCAGCCTTGCAGTCCAGGCGTGACATGCCCAGCTCGGAACCCCGCTAAGGCTCGGGGCTTCTCATCTCGCTGCTTTTGTGCTGCCGAGGGTAGAAACTGGCCGGGCCAGCACGCGTGCTGGGTGAGCCTCCCTGAGCAGAGCCCGGTGTGCTCCCCGGAGCCGAGCTGTCAGGTGGCGTCGGGAAGGCGCAGGCGCAGGCACCCCTTCCTGGCCTTCCAGCCGGTTTCCCAGGCTCGCTCACCTCGCTCTGTGGCGCTGCCTGGAGAAAGTACGTATTTTGCGTCAGTGAAAACATTGCACATTCTTGCTCCGACTTGGGGCCACTTTCCCGTCACTGTCCCTTCAGTGAGCAAGAGGGGATGCCGTGTGAGTTCTTAGGCTTATGGTACAAGGCGACCCGCCTGCTCCTTGCCTGTCTCAAAACGGACAGCTCCGTGTGTGGGTCCCTTCCCTGGAGAGCCTGGCCGCGGGAGCCCTGGCCCACGCAGTCACAGCGCACGACGATGGTGGTGATTTCAATGTAGTTTGCCCATCGGCCAAGCTTTGGGGCGGCACTGCTTCCAAGTCAGGCACACCCCATGGCCACCCCAAGGCGAGGCCCGCTCGGCCCTCTGGCTCCTCTGTCTCGGGTTGACATTCGGTTCTCGCTTGGGTTCCTCGCTCATCAGCCCCGACCAGACCCCGTCTTGCTCTCCTGCCCGCAGTGTGGCTGGGGCGCCAGGATGGCCCTGGGTGTGCCCGGGCCCCTACCCCTCTCCACTCTCCAGAGGTCCCCCGAGTGACCTGATTACAATTAGCCCTGGCCGCATCCCCAGCAGACACCCTTAGCTGGAGTCACGCCTCAAAGCCGTTCCCTCCCAGCGGACCCCCCACCCCAGCCCTGCGTCCCACGCCCCAAAAGTGCCTGGCACGGAGCGTGTTCAGGGCACCTGGTGAGTGAACATGTGCCTGCTGTGAGGAATGGCCCACAATGCCAGGCATGCTGGTGCGAACCTTAACTCCATTTTCTTGAAAGGCTGAGGCAGGAGGATCACAAATTTAAGCAGAGCCTGGGTAACTTAGACCCTGGTTCAAACTAAGAAAAAAGGGCTGGGGCTCAGTGGTCGAGTGGTCCTGGCTTCTGCCCCAGCGACACAAGAAGCCCTATGGAGAAGGCGCCATCCCTGTGGGCACGGACGAGCGCTGACAGTTGTCTGACTGGGACCGAAGTGTGGGGAAGGCGGGTTCCTGTGGTACTCTCTAAACGGATTGGCGCGACGCGTGACTGACTGCCGATCAGGCTGTCCGCTTCATTACAACTACGTAGCGCGCGGGTGTTACCAAGTGCGGCGGGCTTGTCGGGAGGAGGTATCTTTCCCTCTCTCTCTTGGGGCAGGGGCAGGCCGTGGTGCTGCCGAGCGCAGTGACTGGCACTCTCCCATGTTCCCACTGCAGGAGCAGCACCAGGCCTTCCTGTACCAGCTGGTGCAGCAGCAGCAACAGCAGCACCACCCGCCCGAGCTGCAGCCGCTGCAGCTGCCCATCAACAGCCTGCTGGCGGGGGCCCCAGCGCCTGCTCTGCACACGGCCGCCACCAACCCCTTCCTCTCCATGCACGGGGACGGCGCCGGCCAGAAGGTCACGGTAAGTGTCTGCTGGGCTGGGCAGCTGTGTCCCCGCGGGCGCCACTGGAATTCGCACAGTATTAGTTAAGGATGGTCAAATCAGAAGACGACAGTCGGTGTTTCTTTATAGACTTTAATTTGTGGAGTTGTAAGACAAGTTGAATTCTAAGAGTATTTCTGTTTTGATGAAAAGAGCTGCTCAAAATTGACACCGACATAAATTTTAGGGAAGTCTAAACATTTCTTTTTAAAAAATTAGTCATATTTTAATGGAGTTTTAATTTAATTTTATTATTATTATTACTTTTTGGTACCGGGGACTGAACTCGGGTCCTTGCACTTGTGCAGCAGGCAGCGAAACCACTGAGCTAAATCCCCGGCCCTTGGAATTTTAATTTTAAACATCTTACCAATTGCATGTAAGTGATAACGTCTTACTCTTTCAGTGTAAAAGATACACTGCGAGCTTCGTCCTTCTTAATGTGAGTTTTAAGGCTGTTTGTGTCGCTGTTGCTGCCCCCGGGTTGGGGCCGCTGTCTGCAGAGGCCCAGTTCGGGACAGCAGGGGAGGAAGGAAGAAGCGAGACACAGTGCAGGCTCTTCCTCATCCTCACTGTGGAGAAGCTGTTTCCTGTACTTTAGTCCTCAGAGCCTCTAGTTTTTATTCGGTAATGAGAACCAGCTCAACATAGCAGGGCAACCACAGTGCCTCTTGTTCTGGCCACTTCTGCTCAAGCACGTTGTCCTCACAAACCTTGTTATGCCCGGGAAATAGAAGTGATGGGGTTCATCTTGGAACTTTCCTACTGTTGCTTTCAATTCTTTTGTTCACAAGAATTTTTCCTTGTTAAAAAAGTTACAAGCTAATTTTTGTTGAGCTGTACAATGTAAGATGTATTTTTAAACCACAGTCATACATGTAAAACAGTACTAATTACCTGACAGAAGAAATCGGGGCTGGAAGAAACACTGGGTCCTGCTGTGGGGTGATGGGGCCCCACGGTCTACAGAGAGGACGGAGTGCTGAAGAGGCTACGGCTCACAGGACGAACAGCAGTATGGGCTTAGGGCCGGCGACTTGGTCAGGGGAAGCCAAGCCGCAAGATCTGGAGTCCTGTGTTACGGCGTCTGTGGGAAGGCTGTGGGGAGGTGAATTCATTGTCTCTCCCGTCACTCTGGCTCTCGTCCTTGTGTAGTGTTGAATTTAATATTTTAAAGGTATTTACCAGTAAATTCATGCCTTAGGGTTAGGCTGAACATAGCCAGGCCAGCTTACAGGGGAGAGTCATTGTCACGTATCCCATTTGATCCCTTACAGTTGCAAGTAAAGAGGGTATTATCTCCAGTACTGGTCAGAATCGGTTTAGCTAATAATGCTCCTGGTTTTTGTTTTACTGCAGAGAATTAGTGATAAAACTGGGCCTGTAGCTCAAGAGAAAAGTTGACCCCTGAGAGACACCTGAAACAGCCTCTCCTTCGTCGGGCACCAGCGAGGGTGTTGCTGCAGCCCCTGCAGACGGCTGTGAACTGAGACTGAGACTCGGCCGCAGGACAGCTCGCCTGAGGGCGCTTGGAAGGCAGATTGATTTTATTGTTGCTTTGTTGCACTGAATTGAGTTCCCGTACCCTCTGCCTCACCCAAAGGTTTTAAATTTTGAAAGAAAATGTCATAGGTAATTTTTTTTGTCAATGAAATAACTTACATATAATGAGTTTATCAACCCAAGAAAAATTTAATAGTCGGTGCACAAACAGTGTTTTGCTATTCACATCTCCACTTTTTTAACAACTAAAGACTGGTTCCACTTACAAACTCCTCGGTTTTACTGTATAAGCTGGAGTATGGAGTGCCAGAATACCATCTCTTCTTCCGGTTATAGTCAGAGCTGCAATTTCAAGGGACTGTAAATTTCTTCTTTAGGATTGCAGGTATATATCATGTCATTATATAACTGGGACTACAAAACTTCACAGTTATCTCCTTTCTAATGAGACTTGGCCAGTTTGGTAATCTAGGACGTGACATTCGCTTCTGCCGAAGGTACTTTTCTTTTGCTAAGTGCTTCTTTAGTGTCCAGACCTCGCGGTATAGGGAGACTTTGCGTAAAGTTCTGAGGCTGCTGGGGAACGGGGTCAGAGCAGAAGTGTCTTTCAGAAAGAGCCCGTTCTGGAGGCTGCTGCAGGGCTGGCCTTGACCAAGGGTGAGCGAACCCCGCTAAAGCGGCTCCAGGCCAGGCCTCACCGCTGGCACAAGGTCCTGTGCACGCAGGCAGCTCAGGCAGAACCGTGTCCCGCAGAGGTTTCTCCACTTGCGATCACAAACAGAAGGAGGGTTCTGGCCAGAACGCGCATTTGTTTTATTTAAGCAGCTTCCCAGCTCTAAGCACTGTGGCTCCCCAGTAGCAGCCCTGTGCCCCGCCTGCCTTCCCCCCGCGGCCACAGGCGTTAGTGACTAGACCCCCACTGTGTCCTTAGCTGGAAGAACACGCTAATTCCGCAGTATGTCTGTTGGTTAAACATTGGACAGTTCTTACCTCATTTCTGTAAATAAGGTTTTGTGAATCTGTTTTGTATTGTGAAAAATTCATAACATTGATATTTTGATTTGTAATTCTTCTAATTGGTAGATTTAATTGAAAATTAAAATTAATTTATTTTTATATGTCCAGGGGAATTTTAAAGAAAGACTTTTTGTAGATAATTAAAAATCAGTGTGGTTTATTTTACTTATTTAACCCACTGGTTGTTATTCTGTAACAATTTGTATAAATGATAAATTTTGAACGTGTTGTTATTTTGCCTAGATGTAAAATTCCACATGTATTAAAATGTACAAAGTTTTTGTTAATAAAATTTAACGATGTTTATAAGTCAGTGCCTCGTGGGTGGTTCTGGCCTGGGAGTCAGCTGTGGACGGTCCCCTCACCTAGGTGGGGGGGGGTGCAGCTTCTCAATCTCTAGTTTCTCTGGCTGCTTTGGAGTTGAGCCCCAGAGCCACCTGACTGTAGTTCCCAGTACCTGCAGGCTCCTCCTAACCTGTGCGTGCTCGCGTTCACGTTTCAAGCACGTTTTTAAAACTCTAGGGGCAAGGACAAACATGGCTCATTCAGGAGCGCTCTCCTGGCTTGCGCAGTACTTGGGGCAAGGGAGGAAACCCCATCACGCTGCTAGGCTTGTATTAAAATATTTACATCATAAAGCCCCTACGCCTGTAGTCCCAGCAGTCCCAGCACTCGGCAGGCTGAGGCAGGAGGCTCACTACGAGTTCCAGGCCAGCCCAAACTACACAGCAAACGCCTGTCTCAGAACAAGACACGAAAGTAATTTACTTAAGTTTCCTGGGCTCACCACGAGTTCCAGGCCAGCCCGAACTACACAGCAAACGCCTGTCTCAGAACAAGACACGAAAGAAAGTAATTTACTTAAGTTTCCTGGGCTCACGTAAAGTATATCGTATATCCGCTGGCCAGACCTCACTGGAGGCGGCCTGGGGACGGCGACCTTCGGCTCAGCTCTCCCCTGCGGGTGCCGTGCCTTCGGGTGGAACAGAGGCGCCCGGGGCCACGCGACACAGGCCGCACGCACGGGGGAGGGCGAGTGGAGAAAGGGTCTGGGGAGCTTCGGTCCCAGTTGACCAGAGGCAGAGCTGCAGGTGTCTGCTGGGTTCCCTTTTCCTTTGGGGGGTGTTTAGGCGCAGCCACCTGGGGCTCACTGCGATACGCCTGCCTCGGCCTCCCGCGGGCTGGGACGACTGGTGTGCGCACCTGCTTGGGTTACTTGGGGCATCAGGGACGCGTTCGGACCCCAGGGGACCATGGAGGAAGGGAGCGGAAGTTACTGTGCAGCGGAAGGGACGGGACTGCCGGGACCGGGAGCCGCACTGGCCTTCCTCTTTCAGACGAGGCCCCGGTCACCCTCACCCTCACGATGGCCGTCTCGCGGAGGCAGCAAACTCCGCGTCCCCAGGAACGGGACGAGCCACGGCCTCTGCCCCGAGCCGCACCCCCGCGGCCGCCCTCTCCCCTCCGCGTGCGGGACGGCAAGCTCCACCTCGCGGCCGCCCACGCCAGGAAAGCGAAGGCGCAGGGGTCCGCGGCACCGCCCGTTACCTGGGTGCTGCGTGTTCTCGAATCCCGAGCGGAGAATTGGAAGGCGCATCGCCTGCAGGCGGGAACCAGAGTCCGCCTCCAGCGTACTCCGCGCCTCAGGCTGACGTCAGGGCGAGGCTGTCCAACCACAAGCCCGCTTGATCTCACGCCGGAACGGGTCAGCGCTCCCCGATTGGCCGGCGTGCAGAGCTGCCACCTGCGCACATCCGGGACCTTGTGATCCACAGGCCTCACCCCCGCCCTGGAAGGCCTGGCGGACCCCGCGGGGAGTCTCTCTCTCTCTCTCTCTCTCGGAAGCTTTTCCCACAGTGGTCCCGGTGCCCTACCTGAGCCTTGCTTTGTTCCGGACGCCAGGAAACTCACTAGCCGTTTGCTGCTTGGTTTTAGGCTTCAATTCCCGGGGGGATAAAACCCAATGCTGCAGGCGGAGTAGCTCCTCTAACAGCCACCCCGGGAGCCGGAGAGGCTGAGGCAGGGCGACCCCGAAAGCTTAAGACCAGCCTGGGCTACAGAGTCTCCTGAGTTTTGTCTCAAAAAGGAAAAAGCAGCTCGGACTGTCGGCAGCAGGCCGAGGCACGGGGGCTCCGCGAGGGGACGTCCCTAAAGCCTCAGACAGAGCCAAGGCCTGCGCCTTGAGGGCAAGCGGGGCCGCGAGGCCAGCACCCGGCGGCCCTGGGTCCTCAGACCTCGTGTCGGGCGCCCTCCTCGCTCCCGGGTCCCTGGGTCCCTCGGCGCCACCCCTAGCTGCCCTGCCCGCCGCGGACGGGAGGGGAGCAGAACCCGCGTCTGCCTTGCCGCGCCCTCCCACCCGCCTGCCCGGCCAGCAGCACAGCAGCTTGGGGCTCATTTCTTTATAAGGCACGTGGCGTGTGCAAACACGTTGGTACAGAGCGCAAGTTGTGCGCAGGATCTTTGCAACGGTCCTTTCGGAGAACGACGGCGGCCGAGGTCTCCGCTCAGCTTTTTGCTTGTTTCCTCTTCTGCACCAGCTCCACCAGCTGCCGGTAGCGGGCGATGCAGTCCTCCTGCGGGCGGGACAGGGGTGAGCGCCCTGTGCTCGGGCGAGCGCGAGGCCCCGACAGGGACCCTCGGCACTCAGGGGCTGTGCACCCAGGGTCGCAAGGCCACAGGCTGGGTTTCCGGACGTGGAATTTCAATTTTAAAAAAGAGAATGCAAACGACCTCGGCTGCGGTCCTGACCGCCCGCCCAGTCCCCCGCTCTCAGACCTGCTGCGGTACGGCCGCCCTACCGAGGCAGGAGGTCGCTGCGAGCTCAAGGCCAGGCCGAGCTACACGGCAAGACCGCCTCAGGGAAACCACCCCAAATCTCGCCGGGATGCAGCTCAGTGGCGCTGCGCCTGCCTCGCAAACCAGGTCCCGAGTTTGATCCCCGGTACCAAAAACCAGAAAAACAAAAAAACCCACCCCAAAGCCCCAAGTCTCTGCGAAGCACGGGCTTGTCCCCACTCCGCCGGGCGCCCAGGCTGGCCCGCCCCGCGGCCCCACCCACCTTGCTCTTGTCGGGGACGCAGCGCGCGATCCGGTCCCAGCGGTCGGCGGCCCCGCGCGGGTACTGCTGCAGCGCCAGCTCCAGGAGCCGCTGCTGGGCCTGCGTCCACGGCCCGGCCCGCCGAGCCGCCTCCCCGTCCTCGTCGTCCTCGCTGGACTCGGCCCGCGCCGCCTCCTCGAAGTCCCTCTGCCGCCGCCCGCGCGCCTTCTCCTCCGGCCGCCGCCGCCGCACCCGGGCCTCGGGCTCCCGCGCTGCGTCCTCCTCTCGCGGCGTGACGATGGCGTCGGGCAGGGCCAAAGCTGCCTTCGCGGGCCTGGGCGTCTGGGCCGAGGACCTGAGCTCCGACAGCCTGACCATCCCTAGGACAGGTCACAGCACAAGGGTGCAGGGACTGAAGGAGGCCCACACAGCGCTGGCTGTGCGCCCCGCCCGTCCCGCCAGGAGGAAGGCTCGGGAGCAGGCAGGGCGCGGACTCGAACCCACTGCAGGGCCCCCCTCCCCCTACGGCTTTGTTCTTAGGCTAGGGTGACGCGGCTGTGAGCTCAGCAGGGAGGCAGCCCCTCGTGGGCAGGGCTGGGCCCAGCAGCTGTCAGAAGAGCTACAGTGGATCCTCGAGTTGCTGACATGCGAACGAGTTATGACTAGAATGTTTTAACTTACGACCAAACTCTTGAGTTACAACCTGAATGCCGGCCCCTTGTGTTTCCAGATGGTCTCAGACACAGATTTAACCCTTACAGAGTTCTGGGAGGAACATGACAACAGAGCTAAGTGTGGGGTTAACTGAGAAACCCTGGGCCCGTGTCTCTGAGGATGCCAAGATCCGCCCTGTACAGGAGAGAGACTGTGAGGGCTGCAGAGAGGAGCCTGCACCTGAACTGACCAACTTGAGTTACAACAGCCCTCGGGGAGGAACTGAGCTCCTAAGCCAAGGGTCCACTGTAATCTGCAGAAAACGTTTGTTACAGTTCAAACCTTTTACCTCACAAAGAAATACAAATAGTTAATAAATGTTAGGAACATGCAGCGTGAACGTTTCATGCCACATGAGACGACAGATGCCCATCTTCCAGTCATTCAACTGGCAAAGACTAGAAAGCAGGAAACCAATTTAAAAAAAAAATGAAATAAAGGACAACCTCCTGTACGGCCAAAGGCGCAGAGCCAGGTGGTGCGTGTATGTGTAGGTTGGGTGCAGAAACTCACCTGGCTGTCTAACAAGGCATTCTGTGAAACCTCGGCACTGTGGGAGGCTGGGGCAGGAGGATAGCAAGTTTAAGCCCAGCCTGGGAGGGTCACTCAGTGACTTAGCAAAGATAGTTTCCAAAAAAAAAAAAATTCTGGAGTGGCTATTAACCACTTAATACGCCACTGAGCAACTAAGTTTTAAAATGTACTTAATTCAATCAGTTTGAACGTGGATTTTCAGTAGCTCCATGTGGCCGGTGTTACCCAGGAGACTGGAGGACAATCGTCGAATGCAGGCCATTCCGATTCACCTCCCGCTGTCCCGCGTGGGCACCCACACGGTGCCGCGGGGAGGGGCGCGTCACGGCCAGCTCCAGGCCTGCCGGGGGCTGAGTGAGGGGCCAGCCTATGCTCTGAGGACCAACTCCATCAGCAAGCACTGAACTCACAGCTGCGACCTGTGTTGTGCGTGCGCTTACTCGCGAACGACTAATACAACACTTAATTATGAGACATGGGAAGAAAAGAAAATCAGTTTAGCGACACCGTCTCAAGATAAAAAATGGAAAGGGCTGGAGATACAGCTCAGTAGTAGGGCTCCTCTGGGTTTGACTCCCAGTACCACAAAAAACAAAAAGACAAAAAGAAAAGAAAGAAAGAAGGAAACCAAAAAGAAAAAAAGGCAGTGTCCGTCCGCGGAGTTCCTAGTCTCAAACTGAGTCCTCGGGAAGGCCCCGTGCCTCTGTGTCTCTGGACAGCAGCCTGGAGCGTGACTCAGCCAGGCGCGTGTGGGGGCCCACGGGCGGGCGCAGAGCCGGAGAGTCACAGCCACCCTTGTGCGCTGCTCCTTCCTGGTCACCCGCCGGGACAACGCCCCGCTGGACCGCCTGGGGAGCTGGTGCAAGGGCCCTAGCGCGCAGAGAGCGCGCGCCTGCAGCCGTTGGAGTGAGCAAACCCTGAGCGCTGTTCAGAACCGGCAAGCCCGGGCAGATGGCAGCGGCTGGCACAGGGTGTCCTGTGGTCGCCAGCTGCTTTCCCTGCTTCGGTCCACTGGGTCGCACGTGACCAGGGTGCAGCACCGGGATCAGATGGGTGGGATCAGGGTGGAGCCGGATCAGATGCTCTGATGTGAAATAAAACCTCGGGAATCTTGTCAGGAATACTGGGCGCGAGAGACTGAGGGGTCAAACGGCACCGCCACGTCCACTCCGCTTGGCAGGGGGAGCCGCGTGCCCAGGCACCCCCCCTCCGTCCCTCTCTCTGCAGTGCACAGAACTGAGATTTTAACCGGAGTCTTCCCCAAACCACTCAGTTTTGGGGAACTAAACGGACAGTGTTGACGCGTTTGTACTTTTAAAACGAGTTTTGTTTGCAGGATTTACAGGTTAAAACCCTACTCCGAGCCTTTTGTAGCCTGCAGTTTTTAGGTGTCACATCATTTTGACTACAAAATAGCCCCAGACCACACAGGAACTATTTTCAAGCATCTGGTTTCAAAATATTCTTTCTGAATCTTTCAAAACAGTGGGTTTCATATTCATCATTAAGTCACTTTTACTAGATAAAAACATTTCATTATCTGGCACCAAGTTTAGAACTCTTTTGATAAAAAATGTGAAATTTAAATTCCATAAGTGTGTTTTTGGTACCGGGAATCGAGCTCAGGGCCTCTCACCTGCCCAGCTGGCACTGTGCTGCTGAGCTACATCTCCAGCCCAAATTCCATGACCTTTTTTTTTGTACTGGTGATTGAACTCAGGACCTTGGTGCTTGCAACACAGGCGGCGGCACCACTGAGCTAACTACCCGGCCCCAAATTCCATAACTTATTAAAACACTTTTTTGGACATGGGATCTCACCGTGTAGTTCAAGTTTGCCTTGAACTCACTATGTAGCCCAAGGTGGCCTCGAACTGGCAGGGGTCCTCCTGCCTCAGCCTCCTGAGTGCTGGGATTACAGGTGTGCACCACTACACCTGGGCAAAACACTTTGTTAAAATTCGAGGAAGCCTCTGGGTGACAGGAAATAGTCCCCAAGGCACTCTCCATCTTACTGAAAAAATGATTCCAGGGCCCCTGGAATCTGCTCTGTGGGTATTCTGTGCTATATGTTGACAGCAACAGAATGAGCATGGAGAGGGGGCCACCCTCATCCTGTCACTGCCAGGGGTCCCCGCCCCTCCCTCAGGAAATGTTGGCACCCAAGGCGACACACACCCTGCCCCAGGACACCGACAAGGCCTGGGAGTGAGCCAGTGTGTCAGCTGTAAGAGAGGGGAATCGTCATCTCATTGTTCTCAGATAAAAATAAAACTCAGGAGAAACCCAAACACAGTTCCTGCATGTAAAGGGTCCCTCTGCTGTACCCCACTTTGGAGACTGCTACTTCATCACAATTTAAAAAAAGGAAGCCGGGAGTGTGGGATGGCCTGTGTCCAGCTCCAGGGTCTGGTCTAGGAGTCTGAGGCCAGGCTTGGGAACAGTGAGAGCTTGTTTCAAAGAAGGAAAGAAAAGTAGGAAAGGATCAGAATGTCCAGCATCTGGTCCCTATTAAATACACAATGAGCTGTCTGGACTATGAACTACTATCAGTGCTAAGAAGATGACACAGTGGTAGGTTACACATGGTTCATATTTTCTTCCCTTTATCACTGTTTTATTGGGTGTTGTACTTTTTTATTTTTTCAGGCAGGGTCTCACTATGTAGCCCAGGCTGGCCTTGAACTTGCAGTGATCCTCCTGCCTCAGCCTCCCGAGTGCTGGGATCACAGGTGTGTGCCACCATGCCCAGCTGAGACTAGATTTGGAGAAACAACTTCTCAAGGAGGATGCTCATTTGTTCCTAGGGTGGCCCAGATTCTGGGATGATGGTGGGCAGAGGGGGGGAGCGGCCACTCGGACTGGTGTTCTGCACACCCTTTCCCAAGAACTGTAGGGTCCTCTGACCAGACTGAATCACCTCTCACTACCGACTGTGTGCACAGGACTGGTCAGTGCCTGGAACTCAGAACCTTTTAGAGAAAGGATGCGTGGGAACAGGCTTCACTGGATAAAACTATCACACCTTTGTATTTCCAGAGCTATTCTATGAAGGGGTTTACTTTAGAGCAATGGGTTAGGGTGGGTCTGACTCACCTGGGGAGCAGGTAACAGAGTCCTTCAGCTGCTTGGCTTTTGCTGTCACCTATTGCAAAACATAAAAAGTACACGATCTTACGTTCCATGTGCCTTCCACATAAGGCGCAGACCATGCATTCATCAACAAGAAAACAGAGGCCCAGAGAGAGAGTGCTGGGCTCTGAAACACACAGTTCTTCACAGCCGGGCCGGAGCAAGGGCTCAGGGTCCCTCACTGCTTCCAGATCAGTGATGGCTCCACACGTTGGTTTCCAGATCAGTCTACAAAGGGAGTTTTGTGTGAAGTTAAACATTTTCAGGAATGGAATCTTTCTTCAGTGAGTTAATAGTCGGCAGGGAAGACATTTATGCTAATGACAGAAAAATTTTGCACCCCAGAAGGAAACCCTAAGAGCACAGGAGAGACTTAGAGGAGGAGTCTTGTGACTGAGTGGAGAGGGCCCAAGACCCAGGACACATGTGCAGGGGCACGGGTGGAGTGAGAATGAGGAACTGCGCTCAGTGCTACTCAGCCCATCCTACTCTCCTTCCTTCCCTCCCTTCCCTTTTAAAAAAATGGTAACATATTGTACGTCTCATTCTATAGATTGCCTTTTAAATGCCTTGAAGATCTATCTACATAGACATTTCTCTTTTAAAAATTGAGATAAAATTTAGAGTGTGTTTTATGATTTTTGTTTGTTTCTTTTTTTGGTACCGGGATTGAACCTGGGATCTTGTGCTTGCAAGGCAGGTGCCGGAACCACTGAGCTAAATCCCGGGCCCTGTTTTACGATTTTTAAACATAATTCAATGAGGTTTAGAAAAAACACACCCAGGCAAACAACTTCCTAAATTATAGAACATTCTTATTATTCCAGAGTTCCCTTGTGACCCTAAGGCAATCTCTACTCAGTCCAGAGACAACCATTGTTCTGATTTCTATTGTTTATTTTTTTAAAATATGGGTTAAAAATGAATTTTACTCAGTGGTGCCTGTGCCTGCCTTGCAAGTGCAAGGTCATGAGTTTGATCCCCAGTACCAAAATAAAAAAAGATTAAAAAAAAATTTAATTGGAAGCTGAGTGCAGTTGTGTACCTCTTAGCTAGGGAGGCTGAGGCAGGGTGAACATGAGTTCAAGCCCAGCATGGATAACTTAGCAAATTGGTGAGACACTCTCTCAAAAAATAAGAAGGGATGGAGATGTAGTTTAATGCAAAGTTCTGGGATCAATGCCCAAACAGTAAAAGAAAGGGAAAAAACACAAAAAAACTAAAAGAGTAAGTCTACTCAGAGATACTGTTAGAATAGATAGTAAGGACCGTTTACTCAGACACACCTTAAAAACAAGAGAACATGAAAAGTGGATTCAACAGCTGCTAGATGATGCAAAGACTAACCGAAGCTTAACCGGAATAACTTAAAATTAGAAGCCAGCACAAAGGACATAAAATACATGTTTGCAGAAATAATAGAAGAAAACTTTCCAAATATTGGGAAAGAATTAAATAAACAGATAAGTGAGGCATACCGAACCTCAAGTAGTCACAATCAAAAGAGAACCTCTCCATGTCACATCATAGACAAAATACCAGAAGTAACAGGGAGAGAATCTTAAAAGCTGTTGGAGAACAGCAGTGAATCACTTACTGAGGTAAACTCACTAAAATCACAGCATATTTCTCAACACAAAACTTAAGGCCAGATGAGCTTGGAGTGAAGTGTTTCCAGCCCTGAAAGATAACAACTTCGAACCCAGACTTATATATCCTACAAAACTTTCTTTTAAAAATTGATGAAGAAATAAGGAATTTCCATAACAAGAATACCCAAGAAATTCATCACCACCAAACAAGTACTACAAAAAATTCTCAAGGATATCCTAGAAAGACGTAATGAAGCAAAGAATGCCCAAAAATCTAATAGAATGAATATACCAGGCAGGGTAAACAGTTAAGCAGAAGAGTTAGGTGTGGGGATCAGCAATGGGCAAATGTTGCAAGGCCAGGAATAAGGGAGTACCTTCAGTAATAACTCTCAATGAGAATGGCCCCAAATCAGAAGACACAGATTGGCAGAATGGATCAAGAAACAAAACTCAAAAATATGCAGTATGCAATAAACACATTTAATTCAAAAAGAAACTCACAGCTTAAAAATCAAAGGATGGAAAACAGTATTTCATACAATGGAAACTTAGAAAAAGCAAGAGCAGCTATCCTAATTTCAGACAAAGTGGATTTTAAACCAAAACTGACCAGAAGAGGCAAACCATACTGGTTAAGGGAACAATTTAGGAAGAGATAACAGTTATAAACATATATTCACCAAACATCAATGTACCAAACTTAATAAAACGAACACTACTGGACATAAAAAATTAGATACATACCAACACAATTATAATGGGAATATTTAATACTCCACTTTTACAAACTGATCAACTAGACAAAAAAAAAAAATTCAACAAAGAAATATTAAAGTTGAACCAAATCTGCTGGGGACTTAGCTCAGGGGTTCTGCCGCCTGCTGCGCAAGCGCAAGGACCTGAGTTCGATCGCTGGTACCAAAAAAAAAAAAAAAAGAGTTGAACCAAATCTTTGTGGATTTAATAGTATCTGCAGAGTTCCATTCAACTACCATAGAATATACATTCTTCTTAGCAGCACATGGGGTTTTCTCCAAGTAGACCACATTCTAGCCCATAAATCAGGCTTAAGAAAATGCAAAAGAAGGGCTGGGGATTTAGCTCAGTGGTTCTGCCGCCTGCCTTGCAAGCTCAAGAACCTGAGTTTGATCCCTGGTACCAAAAAAAAAAAAAAAAAAAAGAAAATGCAAAAGAATTGAAATTATCTCACCCATATCATCAGATCACAGTGCAATGAAACTAGAAATCAATGGCAAAAGAAACCATGGAAAGTATGCAGACACATGGAAATTAAACAATATCCTCTTGAATAATCAATAGGTCAAGAAGACATCAAGGAATAAATTAGTTGCTAGAATTACACGATAATACCAGTGCAACATACTGGAAACCTACAGGACACAATGAAAACAGTCCTCAGAGGGAAGTTTGTAACTATGAATTTCTACATCAGAAAAATAGCCCAAATAAACAGCCTAATGATGTACCTCAAAATTCTAGGAAAACAAGAATTCAAATCCAGAGCTTGTACAAGGAAGGAAATGATAAAGATCAGCAGAAATTAATGAAATGGAGACAAACCAAACCAAACCAAAGAAGCAAAAAACAAAAACAATGAATTGAAGAGCTGTTTCTTTGAAAGGATAAACAAAATAGACAAAACCTTAGCCAATCTTACAAAAAGAAGGAAAGAAGGAAGGAAGGAAAAAGGAAGGAAGGAAGGAGGGAAGAAAGAAAGAAAGAAAGAAAGAAAGAAAGAAAGAAAAGCAAGCAAGCGAGTGAGCCAAGGATGTAGCTCAGTGGTGCTGAGCCTGCCTGGCAAGCACAAGGTCCTGAGTTCAACCCCCAGTACCAGAAAAAAAAAAAGAAAGAAAGAAAAATCAAATAAATGCAATTAGAAATGAAAAAGGTAAAATAAAAATGGCCACTGTCAAAATTCTGAAAATTATTAGTAACTACCTTGCAAACCTGCACATCAAAAAATTGGAGAACTCAGAAGAAATGGAGAGATTCCTAGAGACTCATGAATTACCAAAACTGAACCAAAAAGACTTAAAAATTGTGAATAAACCAATAACAGACAATGAAATTGAAGAAGAAATGAAACTGAGAGGCAAGGAGTACTTCCAAAACCATTCTGGGAAGCTACTATTACTCTGATCCCAAAACCAGACAAGGATCTAGCCAAAAAAGAGAATTATAAGCCAATTTCTCTGAAGAACTGCAAATGCAAAAACCTTTAGCAAGGGGCTGGGCTGTAATCCCAGCACTTGGGAGGCTGGGGCAGGAAGATGGTGAGTTCAAGGCCAGCCTGAACTACATAGGGAGACCCCGTCTCAAAAACAAAACAAAAGAAAACAAAAACCTTAACAAGATACTGGCAAATCATCAAAAAGATCATACACCATGACTAAGTAGGCTTTATCTCAGTGATGCAAGCGTAGTTCAATAAATCAATAAATGTAATATATCACATAAATAGAAGCAAGGACAAAAATCACATGATCATCTCAATAGAGGCAGAAAAACTCTTTGACAAAATCCAACATCCATTCATGGATAAAAATCCTGACAAAAATAAGTAAACAAAGACTTATCTCAATCTGATAAAAAACATTTATGACCAACCTACTGCCAAGATCATGTTAAATAGGGAAAAGCTGAAAGCCTTCCCTCTAAAATCAGGAACAAGACAAGAATGTCCACCATCACCACTCCTGTCCTCAAAGTCCTCAAAACATTAGCCAGAGTCATCAGGCAAGAGACAGAAATAAAAGATATGTATAGGAAAGGACAAAGTCAAAGTATCATTATTTGCAGATGACATGATCTTCTACTTACAAGACCCGAAAAATTTCACCAAGACTCCTAGAATTAATAACCAAATTTGATAGTACACCAAGATAAAAAGTCAACACACAAAAATCAATAGCATTGCTGTACACTAAAAATAAACTCACTGAGAAAGAAATTAGGGATATAATATCTTTCACACTATCATCAAGAAAAATTAAATACTCTACGAATTAACCTAAGGAAGTGAAATGTCTCTACAATTAAAACTATAGTATTTTGAAAAAGAAAATTGAAGAGGACATCAGAAAATGGAAAGATATTTCCTGTTCCTGGTAGGCAGAACTAATATTGTAAAAATGGTCATACTTTCAAAACTGATTCAAGATTTACTATAATCCCAATCAAAGTACCAATAGCATTCCTCATGGAACTGTGGAAAACAATCCTAAAATTCATAAGGAACCAGAAGAGACTCAGAATAGCAAAAGCAACCCTGGGCAAGAGCAAGGTAGGAGGAATCACAATTTTGGACTTCAAATTATACTACAAACCTACAATGATAAAAACAGCATGGCAGTGGCAAAAAGACAGACACATAGATCAACAGAACAGAATAGAGGAT